AAAAATCTTTTCCTAGTGCTTCAGTGGCTAGTAATGTTAAAAATATAGGGTATCCTTATAGAGAGTTTCCCTGTATGCTATGAATATTATATTTTAAGTGTATAAATTTTTTGTGTTTGCTTTTTCAAGACAGGGTTTCTCGGGAACTCACTCTGTAGACCAGGCTGACCTCAAACTCAGCGATCCACCTGCCTCAGCCTCTCTAGTGCTGGGAATAAAGGTGTGTACCACCACATCCAGCTTGATAATTTTATATTTTAAAAATATAAACAAAACAAATCAAGGGTAACACTACAAAAGATGAGTTTTGTAGTTTTGATTTTAAGTTGCTGGATATTCATGTGTACCCAAAAGTGTGTTAATCTCGGTTTTCTGGGCCTGATGTTTTTCTGTAACAAAATGTTTCCTTATCTACTTCTCCCTGAAGACCTAGTTAAGGGTTAGAATCAGTCAGCAGCCTCTATAGTTCTTAGGAAATGTGAAGACTGTCTTTCATATAGCTTCATATTCCTGATGAAAACTTCTCCAGTAGCTTTTGTGTGTTATGGCTGCACCAGATGCTGGGGCTATGATTAAAGGACAAAGCTTAATTCCAACCAAAGCTCATAGGCTAGAGCAGTATTCTAGCATCATGATCCTTAGCTGTGCGTTGTCTCTGTTAAGCATAAAACAGTCTACATATTTCCCGTTTGGTAAAGTCAGGTACTTTATCTCCATTTGCTGACAGCAACAAGAAGTTTCCAAGTAAGTAACTTAACTTTCTGATCCAGTATTTCCCCAGCTTACTGGATGTTGGGAACTTTTGGGACTCATAGAAATGCCTCTGGCAATAAAAACACACTACTGGCACCTAGTTTTGGAGCCTATCTAGAGAGGCTCTGAACATATATGGAGTTCTATAGAGGCAACGGAAGTGAGAGTCCAGGACATGAGAAGTGAGCATTGCATGCTAAACAGGTCCTGGACAGTGAGGATAAGGAGAGGAAGGCCGGGTTAGGCTAGGCTGGAAGATAGATGGAGAGGTGTGCCTGGGTGGGTGAAGGAGCGTGGTGTGTGAGAGGAACTGTGCAACAGCCAGGTGTCATGCTATGAAAGTAAGATATCCTGTTAGGAGTACTCAGTCTAGTGTGTAAATGACTTTGAACTACATGACTGACCTATAAAACAAGTGGTAACCTCAAAGTTAGGTGATGTCTTTGTTAACAAAGTGTTGAATTTATTTTTAAAATAGAAAAAATAGGAGCTAAACTATGACAGCTGTATCATCTCCCTGTATGGAGATTAAACAGCGGAGTGCACAGTTAATGTATGTCGGGAATAATCAAGTGAATTCACTTTTTACTTTGAAATTGGTCATAGGATAATCTGTGAAGAAAAACAATCAAGTATTCTTAAATTCACAGTCTTCGAATTTTCCTTCCTGGCATCTATGCTTATTATAGAATATAGGAAAATAAAGTTGTGTGCTGACACCAAATGCAAGTAGATGTATATTCTGGGGAGATAACTCGGTTGAAATTATGAGGTCTTGAGTTCTCCCCCTAAAACCTGTGCAACAGAAAGCTAGGAGTGGTCGTGTGTGTTTCTGATCTTAGCTCTGGCAAGGCTGATGTAGGCAGCTGTCTAGGACTGACTGTGCAGCCAGCCCAGCTTATCTGTCAAGCTGCAGGCGAGAGAGACGAGATGGATGACATCTGAAGGCTGACAGCTGAGGTCATCCTCAGGCCTCCACATTAATGGGCACACACAGGCGTGCACACACGGGAAGGCACGTACACACAAAAAGAAGCAACTGTACATGTTGAAATAGTTTCTAAACGTGATACACATATATAATGCTAAGTATAATCCTCTTTTAGTTTTTTCCTTTGTAAATATGAGACATGGCACTTGAAGATTGAGACTCCATTCTGTTAGATAAGCCATTGTTTGTGTAACTATAGAAAGTCTTCAGCTTTTCCAACCATATTTTTTTTACTGAGTTTAAATTTTCTTACTGTAAATTATACATTGTATATATAGCTTCAGAACTGGAATTAGTGAATCAAAACAGTAGGGATATACTTACCCCTTGATACACGTCAGCACGTTAGCATTGGAAACAGTACAGCACTTGATATTTTGCATTTGGACTGTGTCAGAGGGTTTGTTTTCTCAGTTTTTCAGAGCAGTCATTTAAAAATGATAATAGTGATGCATATTTTGTGACTTCAGTAGTTTAGGAGTATCCTTTTTTTTCCTCATATTTTTAAGTTGTACCCATTAAAATCTGTTTAAAACTGTGTACTTGATGATAATAAGGATTAGTCTTGATATGAAACTTTTATTTTTGAGGTATCCATCACGAATTGAAAAGATTGATTATGAAGAAGGGAAAATGCTAGTCCATTTTGAGCGTTGGAGCCATCGTTACGATGAGTGGATTTACTGGGACAGCAACAGGTTGCGGCCCCTTGAGAGACCTGCGCTAAGAAAAGAAGGGCTAAAGGACGAGGAAGAGTTCTTTGTAAGTAGGAAGGGATTCCATTTGAGGCTTTTCTAGTTACATTACGACACTTTAAAAGGATCGTGTCAAACTTAGCTGCCTGTTTTTGTTAATTAAATGGTTATTATATATGAAATTGATCTCGAAAGTTGTTTGACTAGGATTTTAAAGCTGGAGAAGAAGTTCTGGCTCGTTGGACAGACTGTCGCTATTACCCTGCCAAGATTGAAGCAATTAACAAAGAAGGTATGCATTTGACATGACCTGAGACTTAAGTAGGATGGGGAGAAAATTATTTTAAATGTCAGTTAAGGTATATAATTGTTGCATAGAGCTGCCATCTTGTTTTATGTTGCCCTGTGTGGATTTCCTGCTAGTATTCTTTATGGGAACATTTGTTACATATTGCATGGCTCGTGACTTCGCAGCTTAAATCAAAAAACCTGGTGTGTTAGTAGGATTTCCCATGAGCCTGTTAAATTTTTCAGACAGACAATAAACTTGACTGCTTCATGTTTTTTTTT